GGGTCTTTCAATTGGTGTCTGTGCCGCACAGTTACGACATCGCCAGCATCTTCGAGTTGGACGCCACCACTCTTAGCCGTGGCGACGATCTGGTGCCGCAAAACTCGTACGTCCGGCTCAGACACCTGTGCACAAACACTTGGGTCCACAGCACTACCATTCCCATCGATAAGGAGCACGAGAGACCGGTTATGTCGAAAGTGGGCTGCGCTCTCATACGCGAAGACAAGGAGGCGTTCGCAGTGGTGCCGGTGTCGCCCATTGAGGTCCGGGACCTGGACTTTGCGAACGACGCCTGCAAAGTGTTGACCAAAATATCGACACAACTGGAGACTAAACTCATTACACCGAATGAACGCAAATTTGTCATTCAATTACTCATCGAAATCATATACTTTATCGCAGACCTGGAGAACGATCCCAAACGTGTCGATCCCTTCGAGTTGATGCCGTCCCATACGAACAGAGAGCGACAGAAGCTGTTGAGAGAGCAGAATATTCTGAAGCACTTGTTTAAGATACTTCAGGCGCCCTTCATTGACGCCGGGGAGGGGCCGATGCTTCGCATGGAGGAGCTCAGCGACACCCGATACGCGCCATTCAAACAGATATGCCGTCTCTGCTATCGAGTGCTACGGCTCTCGCAACAGGATTACCGCAAAAATCAGGAATATATCGCCAATTGGTTCGGATTTATGCAGAAACAGATCGGTTACGACGTGTTGGCCGAAGACACGATCACCGCTTTATTGCACAGCAATCGGAAACTACTGGAGCAACACATCACTGCCAATGAGATCGAGACATTCGTGTCGTTGGTCCGCAAGAACCGGGAGTCGAGATTTCTGGACTATTTGTCCGATTTGTGTATATCCAAGAAAGTGGCCATTCCTATCACGCAGGAACTCATATGCAAAACAGTATTGTCACCGAAAAATAGCGACATTTTGATCGAAACGCGTTTACTTCGCAAAGAGCTTGAGGTGGTGTTTGAGATGGAGAACCCACAGTCCGGTGAAATGGAGCCCTTTGTGACCACTCAGGAGGAAGAGGACATAATTTTGTTGTGGGATAACGGAAGACAATCCAAATCTATTAAACAATTGGCAGAGAATGCGGCCAAAGGTTGCGGCGATGACCTGAATATTTTGGATTATTATAGACATCAATTGGATTTGTTTAGTGGCATGTGTTTAGACAGACAATACTTAGCCATTAACAACCTGTCATCACATCTGGACATTGATTTGATCCACAAGTGCATGGCTGACGAATCACTTCCATTCGACTTAAGGGCAGCCTTTTGTCGACTACTACTTCACATGCATGTGGACCGCGACCCTCAGGAACAGATAACTCCTGTGAAATACGCGCGACTCTGGTCTGAGATACCACAAGACCTATCCATCCAAGACTACGACACAAACAAACAACAGGATATGTCGGCCAAAGAGGCTGTCAAGAAGAAGTTTGCTTCGATCATAACGTTTGTGGAGGACTACCTGTGCAATGTGGTGAGCCATGTCTGGTCGTTCGCGGACAGGGAGCAAAATAAGCTGACATTTGAAGTGGTGAAACTGGCCAGGGAACTCATTTACTTTGGATTTTATAATTTTAGTGATTTGTTACGTTTGACCAAAACGTTGCTTAATATACTCGACTGCACGACAGAGTCGGCCCTCAAGAGAATGACTTCCGAAAGCATTAGTCTTAAGGATAATTCTGTGATGAAGTCAATCGGAGATATTAGTAATGTTATGACGAGTTTTGTATTAAACAAAAACGATATGAAAAGTATGAAAATGAATCAAAGCGTTAAAAGTGATAAATCTATAGTGGGCTCAAGCAAACTGACCGCAACTCCGGTGATTGGCTCAGAAATGGACACCAATGTGATGGACACGAAGCTCAAGATCATTGAGATTTTGCAGTTTATTCTAAACGTTAGACTCGATTACAGAATAACAGGTCTTTTGACTATATTTAAGAAAGAGATCGAAGAGAGCCATGAAAATGACGAACAGAACAACAAATTCAATGTATTGGACGATACGGTGAATATCGGAGAGAAAGGCATCGATTTGGGGCACATCGGACAACAGGCGGAACTCATATTTGGCGGCGACTCCGGCGATGATATTGATTTGGACGGCAACGGCGGCTGCACTTTCCTACGAGTGCTGCTCCACCTAACTATGCATGAATACCCTCCACTTGTCAGCGGTTCTCTACACCTACTGTTCCGGCACTTCTCTCAACGCCAAGAAGTGCTCCAATCCTTCAAACAGGTCCAACTTCTGGTCTCAACCAGTGATGTCGAGAATTATAAGCAAATAAAGTCTGACTTGGATCAGTTCAGACTACTGGTTGAAAAGTCCGAACTCTGGGTCTATAAGACCAAAACGATGGACGACGAGAGCGGAAGTGTCGGCAAAACCAAATCAATCAAAGGTTCCGATGGCGACGCTGAAGGCGATGATCACGAGACCAACAAAGCGGTTCCCAATCACTTGTTTCGCAGCAATTCTTCGTCGCCAATAAACGTGGAGTCGGGCTCTCAAGGGCTGGATGTCTCGCATTCAAAGAACTACAAAATTATTCGCGAAATATTACTCCGATTGACGAAACTGTGTGTTCAGGAGAGCTCCGGCCCTAAGAGTGAGCTGAAGGCCCGCAAACACGAGCAACGATTGCTGAGGAATATGGGTGCACACATCGTGGTCCTCGAGTTACTCCGGATCCCCTACGATAAGAAAGACGACTTCAAAATGAATGAAGTCATGCGATTGGCCCACGAGTTCCTCCAACACTTCTGTCTCAGCAATACTCCCAATCAGACGCTTCTCGAGAAACATTTGGAGCTATTCATGACTCCCGGCGTAAGTCTCGACAAAAGTTGTCTATAATTTGTTTACTCTATGATTTAATTATCTTTAAATTGTGTTGAAGTTATTGGAGGCGCGGACTATGTGTGCGATATTTCGCGACAACTTTTCTCTCTGTAACGAAATCAATGAACGAGTGATACAACACTTCGTGCAGTGCATTGTCACCCATGGAAGACATGTCCAATACCTGAAGTTTTTGCAGACTATTGTGAAAGCCGAGGGGCAAGTGGTGAGAAAGTGTCAGAATATGGTTATGCAAGAGTTGGTGAACGCCGGCGAAGACGTGTTGGTCTTTTATAACGATAAGACAAGTTTTAACCATTTGATTGAAATGATGAGAAGCGAGAGGAACCGTATGGATGAGGCGGGAGCCCTTCAATATCACATAAATCTGGTGAAACTGTTGGGCTGTTGTACTGAAGGCAAGAACGCGTTCACAGAAGTCAAGTGCCACTCATTGCTATCGTTGGACGACATAATCCTTGTGGTGGAGCACGAGGACTGTATCGCCGAAGTAAAGGAGGCGTACATTAACTTCCTGACCCATTGTTTCATCGACACCGAGATGGAGATGAAGGAGATCTACGCCTCGAACCACATTTGGGCCCTTTTGGAGAACTTCTTGGTAGACATGGCCACCGTCTGCGCCGCCACTCACGACAGAAATCACGCCGACTTCGCGCTCGAGAGTTATGTCACGAATTCAATCATGAGTTTAGTGACCACTTTCTTCAACTCCCCATTCAGTGACCAGAGCTCTAGTGTTCAGGTATTGTATGATTTGCTTTGATTCTACCGGACATTGGCTTTCCTTTTGACTAACGATTAATTGCAAAAACCTTTTAATTTTGATTTATAAGCTAAAACATAATATGCCCTAAAATTCTTTGCTTTATTTAACTCTTGGTTTTTAAAACTATTTTAACTCGGATTTTGGTTTCGGTTCACAATAATTGGCACTAAAATGCATGACCTCTTATGACCTCACAATTGCTTTAATGAAATTAGAAGCACTTGAACTCAAAATACTCGGCCAAACCTCAAAGAGTAGACTTAACTGATGTAAGCCTTGCCTAACATTTGACATTTCGAGAGATTTAATTCACCAATACTTTGATACCCAGACACACCAACCAGTGTTTGTGCGGGTACTTCAGGGTGCCTTCCGGTTGAGTAACTGTACGTGGCTTTCATTACCGCAACGTATTAACGTCGAGACGTGTATTAAAACACTGATGGAAATCGCCAAAACCCGGGGAATGGCTGTGCCGTCCGAACTGGAGACACAGGTGACCCAAATGTTTCAAAAGCAAAACCTACTCTCGAAGCACACGAGGGTCTGGTTGTCGGCCGCTCGCAGTGGAACCACTAGAAGACCCCCGACTCTGGATCTCATTCAAGCGACACCTCAAGTGAACTTCCGTAACGATCGGTCCATAATTGAAGGCTTTCAGGACATCGTATCACTACTGGAGGAACAGTTGCGACCCTTAGTTCAGGCCGAGCTCTCGGTCTTCGTGGACGTACTCTATCGGCCGGAAATGCTGTTCCCAATCAATACAGAGGCCCGTCGTATGTGCGAAAACGGAGGCTTTATTTCTCGACTCATTAAACACACCGAAAGACTTATGGAAGAAAAGGAGGAAAAGCTTTGTATAAAAGTATTACAGACTCTGAAAGAGATGTTGGCTATCGATCCCGACTATGAAGAGAGGGTAAGACATTAAACTGAATCTATTTATTGATATTTGAATTGATTAGTAGTAGAGCTAGTAATCCATCTAGCCATAATAAATCCACAATAAATCACATACCTTTCCATTCCATTCCATTACAAAAACGCTATATTAACCAAAAAGGCTTTACTCGACCTTATGTTAACAGAAAAGGATCTCTTGAATAGAGAACGGGTAAGAGTTTAGACATTATTATATCAACTGTTGGCACAAATATGAGAATGTTTTGCACCCATTATTTGCAACCCTTTCTGTTCACGTATTGAATGGTTTTTCTTATTTACCGTAAAATTATTTCTTATTTTTGTTTATTTGAAATTATTTTATGATACGTAAACTTATATAATTTTCATATTTTTTAATTTTATGCTATTTATTAACTGTACTTTCATTTAGCAATAGTAATGTTTCTAATTGTATAAAAACTATTGCACTGTTAGGGCGAAGCGCTTCGAAAAGTATTATTGGATCGATATTTGTCCCGAAAAGACATCATTAAGAGCGACAAAAAGAGTATTAAATCAGAAATCATACCAAAAGTAACAAAGAAGGCGTCCACCCAATTTGGTCCCGGGGCTATACTGCTGTCCAGGGCCGAGATGACCCTATCGGAAGTGCAGTGCCATTTGGACAGAGAGGGCTGCAGTAATCTAGTGATTGAGCTGATTATGAGTAATCCCATTCATAACATATTCGTGGAGTGCGTGGAACTGGGTATTGCGCTCCTGGAGGGCGGCAACTCAACCACCCAGAGGTCTATATTCAACAAAATGACTGCCGAGAACTCGGCCGAAAAGTTCTTCAAAGTGTTCTTCGATAAGATGAAGTTCGCTCAGCACGAGATCAAGTCCACCATTAATGTCACGTCCAGTGAACACAACAAATCCGATAGAGAAGACGCCGCTGGAGACAAGTCTGAGACCAGCAATGGATACGTCGGACGCAGGGATACCCTGAGAAGTAGTCGCAGTCATAACGGGATTGTGTTGACGGAGGAACTGAAGCAACAGTTCATGGATGCGGCGAATGTGACGGACAAAGCCTACCAACACATCAATAGCTTGAGTTACACGCCGTCCACTCCTCCTCTCATAAACCACTCGTCTTTCAACGACGACAGAGAGTCGACTTCTCAATCAAATAGTTTCGTTCCCCTCGAAGACGTGTATTTAGTTTACGGCACCGAAAGGCGTGGGTCGCGGACCAAAGCCTACGACTCGCGACTTCCCTCTGAGATCGCAGTAATGCAACAGATCTTACGATTTTTGCAACTGTTGTGCGAAAACCATAATTACGAGTTACAAAACTTCCTCCGCAACCAGAATAACAAAAATAATTTCAATTTAATATCGGAAACCCTCATGTTTTTGGACCGTTTGTGCGGCTCGACCACTGGTGGGTTGGGTCTACTCGGGCTGTATATCAATGAACATAACGTGGCGTTAGTTAACCAAACTCTGGAGACGTTGACGGAGTACTGTCAGGGCCCGTGCCATGAGAACCAAAACTGTATAGCAATGCATGAGTCCAACGGAATCGACATAATTATAGCACTTATTCTCAATGATATCAATCCTCTCGGGAAGAAACGCATGGATTTGATTCTGGAGCTCAAGAATAACGCCTCGAAGTTATTATTGGCTATAATGGAGAGCAGAGCCGACTCTGAAAATGCCGAAAGAATTCTGTTTAATATGAGTCCCAAACAGTTGATAGACGTCTCGTGTTATGCTTTCCATCAGAGCCACGACAGCACCGATGAAATCGACAGCTTTTCCGACATCGACGACACCGACGATGCGGTCAACCCTAAAGAGGTCGGACATAACATCTACATTCTGTGTCACCAATTGGCTCAACATAACAAAGATTTGGCATCAATTCTGAAGAACTCAAACGAAACGGAGATTGAAATCAATACCAAAATGAGAGAATCGCTCAGTTATTATCAGTCGCACACCGCACAGATCGAGGTAAGCCTACCATTGAGACGATTGGCAAATATATTCATATTCTGTATATTGAATTGTCTGACAGATTGTAAGACACGACCGAACGATGGAACAGATAGTGTTTCCGGTGCCACAGATTTGCGAGTTTTTGACCCGAGAGTCCAAAATGAAAACATATCACTCGGCAGAACGTGACGAACAGGGGAGCAAAGTGTCCGACTTCTTCGAGAGGACCGAAGATCTGTTCAATGAAATGAAATGGCAGAAGAAGTTAAGAGGTATTCATTGAAATGCAAATTGATTTCAACCATAATTAATGATATTTATATCGCATTCAAAGGCCAATCACTATTGTTTTGGGTGTCACGGCATATGTCTATCTGGAACTCCTTTTCATTTAACTTAGCGGTTGTCATCAATATTATAATTGCATTCTTTTATCCCTTTCCCTCACAAACCGGTAAATTACATGCAATTATTTAAAAATTTTAGTGATTAAAAAATCCCTTTAAATTAAATTTGTATAGAATTAGACTCACGTTTATCTGCATTGATTTGGGCGGTTATGTTGATATCATTGGCATCGGTGCTGACAATGCCCGGGAAGGCAGGCGTCCGTTTCCTGGGGGCCTCTTTCATACTGAGACTCATATACAGTATAGGCATTCCTCCGACACTCTTTATCTTAGGCTCTGCTAATGTCATCATAACGACCGTCCATTTGATCTCAACGATGGGAAATCACGGGACGTTCAACAAAGATGTCAAACGTATTATTCTGGACCAAGAATTTCTATATCACATCATTTATCTAATCTTCTGTATTGCGGGCCTTATAGTCGATCCGTTGATTTACAGTATTTTAGTGAGTATTTCATTGATTGACGCCTCAATTACCACAGTTTGTAACAAATTGTTTTATGCCTAACCGACAGCTCCTGAACGTTGTATATCAGGAGGAAACCCTCCGAAACGTGATTAGGTCTGTGACCAGAAACGGGCGCTCTATTATCCTAACGGCTATATTGGCTCTCATTTTGGTCTATTTGTTCTCAATTATCGGATACATATTCTTCAGAGACGACTTCCTCATGGAAGTGGACTCATCCTATGCTTTGGACGAATTGCCGACCGATTTGCCCGAAAGCGGTCACTGTTTTACAGATAACTGCAATAATCAGACCAATCAAACGGACACACATTCCAGAAATTCTAGTGTTTTATTTGATTTATTGAATAAATCGGACGATTCGGACACTTCGCTGAGCGAAGAGGTGGAGGAATCGGTGAAAGAAAGGGTTTGCGATTCACTCATAATGTGTATCATAACGACACTAAATCAGGGCCTCAGGAATGGCGGCGGAATCGGCGATGTGTTGCGGTCTCCGAGTGCTGTCGAACCCAAATACCTGCCCCGAGTTATCTATGACCTCGTCTTCTATTTCGTGGTCATTATCATTATCCTTAATCTCATTTTTGGTGTCATTATCGACACATTCGCTGACCTCAGGAGTGAAAAGCAACAGAAAGACGAGATTCTTAAGAACACCTGTTTTATATGCGGTAATGTTTTGTCATAATTAAGTCATTATTTGATTGACATTTTAATGAGACAATTGAATGGATGGGTAGGTCTGGACAGGTCTGCGTTCGACAATAAGAGTGTGTCATTCGAGGAGCACATCCGATGCGAGCATAATATGTGGCATTACCTCTATTTTATAGTCTTAGTTAAAGTCAAAAATCCAACCGAATTCACTGGTCCAGAGAGCTACGTGGCCACCATGATCAAGGTANTTAAAGTCAAAAATCCAACCGAATTCACTGGTCCAGAGAGCTACGTGGCCACCATGATCAAGGTATGGCTCACTATCTACCCAACGGTTGCCTAATATTTGTCTGCAAATGACTTATAGGAGCGAAATCTGGATTGGTTTCCACGGATGAGAGCCATGTCTTTAGCGGCCAACGATGGCGAGGGCGAGCAAAATGAGTTCCGTTTATTGCAATCTCAACTCGAAGTAACACAAAAACTGGTCTCCACTTTAAGCCAACAACTATTTGAACTTAAAGACCAGGTATTCTATCTAAAAACTAACTGTCCATTCGATAGAAATGAACTAATTCTCGTGTTTTACTTCAGATGACTGAACAACGAAAACAACAGCAAAGGAGAGGTCTATTGAGTACAAGCGGTCCAATGCCTGTCACTTAGATTTATGTTAATTCTTATATTTTTTATATATTTGTTAAGAATTTGTTTTTAATTAATTTTCTTATATATTATTTGCAATTCATATCATTCGCCAAAGCATTCGACTTAATGTTTGATCAAAACATCAACAAACAAATGACTTATATTTGATTTGTGCCTTAAATTTGTTAAAATATTTTTATAGCTTTAATCGAGAATTTAATTATAGGAATATTGTTAATTGATTTTTGTTATCGAATTTAATATTTAATTTATTACTTTTTATGACGAATAGTATATATCACTGTTAATACCGTTAAAACAACCGAAATATTTATAACTTATTGAAAATTAAGTGCAATTTTACGCCTAATGCCTATCATTACATAATTTATTTAAAAAAATAATATTCCAGTCTTTGGTCATAACATTAAAATTTATTAATATTTTATACGCAATTCAATACTTGAAATATCAATGAAATTATTGTTTTTCTTAATGATTATCACTTTGAGTACAAAGATTCATGTTTTTGAATAAAAAAATATTATTCACCTGGCTCACTATTGGATTCAACGCAGAAATACTAGTGTTTTGAGAGTTCTTTTTGACGGCACTCTTCTTCTTGGGATTACTTGCGCTCGTAATCGACGGATGAAAGAGTTGTCCATTACTTAAAAGACTTGAGTTTTGTGTACAACTGTTGTTTAAATCACTTTTCTTGCGCTTCTTAGTCGCCGATGAATTCGTCACGTGTTTAGTCGTTATGTTAGTCTTTGGCTTAACGTAAGTATAATTGTGGGAACTATTGGTGATTGTGGTGGTCATGGCGTCGGCGAAGCTGTAGGGGTCGAGCGCCGGCGACTCGTCGGTCGTTGTGGTGGTCGTCGACTCACACGAGGCGTCGATAGAAGTCCTGAGCTTTTTGGTGACACCAAGAGATTGGTTTGGATGACGCGATGGACTCTTCACAGACAGTTGGGACACATTTGACGCACACTTTTGATTGTTCGCTAACTTTGACACAAACAGAGGGCTATTGAAGGTCGCCCTCAACGCCGATAGGGTCAGGTCGTGGCCGCGCGACAGGAGCCGCGAGCCGTCGAGTGTCCGCATACTGTAGTTACAGACGGCCGCCGGTCTCGGGTGGCAACACATGTAGACCGAGCCGTCGGCGTCCACTTCCGTCTGATTGTGAGTGAGTTTGCGATGAGTTTGTTGTGAGGGTTGACGCGATTTACGAGACATTAGATTCTCAAACGATGAGCTCAACGGCGATGAGACAAATGTCAACAAACTGTTGATATTGGAGTTGATATTTGTGGTGAGCGTGGAGTCGATTGCTTGCGAATCACTGAACACTAACGGCCGCGAAATGGCCGACAAATGGTTCGTATCACTCATCAGATGATTGGCTTCTTCCTTGAGCTGTAGTTGTTGTGAAGCCTTCAACTGTTGCTGTTGTTTCTGAATCGCTTTCTTCGTGGGCTTTATTTCGATGCCTTGAGCCCTGAGCGCCGCCTCCTTGGCCTCCCGGTGCTCGCACAGGAGTTCGTCGAAGTTCTTGAGCCGGCCCTGGACTGCGCGCCTCAGTGTCAGCGAATGCGTCTTACAGGTCAGACTCCGAGTGCACGGCTTCTCCATCTCCTGCGTACAGACACCGCAGTGTTTGTTGGGGTCGTAGAGCCGGTCCTTACAGGGAAGCAGTTTCCTCGGGTTCGCCGACTTCTTGTACGACTTCTTCTTCGGCGGCGGCTTCACGACGACAACGGGCGTCACAACGGAGTCACAGTCAACCATAACATCTAATTTGTTGTCAATAATGTGATTATTATTTAAACTAATTTCCGGAACACTAATAGTCACTGAATGTCTGTCGGCACTCACGAGTCCCACTGCATACCCGGGTCCGGGTCCGGGTCCGGGCGGCTGTAGGGTCTCTGGCAGTAGGGGCTCGTGTGTTGTACTCACGTTTGGCGACAATAAGTTAATTAATTTAGAGTTTGCTTTAATGGGATAATCGTTCAATTCGTTACTATTCACACAATTATTGTATAACACTATTATTACTATCGATGACAACGATGTTATTGTTGTCGATAATGGTCTTCAAGTCATTTGAGTTCAACAACACTTTCACTTCACTATTAATACAATCGTTCACCAAGTCTTCGGCACTCATGTGATCGGTGTTTGTGTTGCCGTTCACTAAGCCATCCGTCTCTTCCTTACTATCACTGGTGGTGTCCGGCGATGATGTGGTCACCGATGGCTGAGTGGTCGCTGTTGTGGTCGTGTTTGTACTATCGGTTCGCAGTTTTAATGATTTGTTTAATTGATTGAAAATGTGGTTATTATTCGCGTGATATGAATGCCGTAATTCTGGAGGAATACAAGAGATCATTAAATGCAAAGTCACATCATATGAGTGCTGATTGCATACCAATGTGGCGCTGAAGAGCCTGCGGTTTAATCACTTGTTTACAGTACTCGCAAACCACTAAATAAAACTGATCCCAAGCCGGACATAAGCCAAACAAAGACATATCTGTGTAATAGACAGCAATTAATGGTAGAATCAATTGTAAACACTCGAGGAAGTGGTGACAGACCTTCTCGTCTCAATTTCATCGTTTCTTTATTATCATTGTTTACGTCGTCTTCCTCTTCGGCTAAATGTCACAACAAATGCATTAATTACGGATTCAATGGATTCACGCATTCATAGTAACCATGAATTGAGCGGAAAATCAATGAAAAGCAAATCAAATGCAAATGAATTGAGTTTTCAAATGAAATCAAAGTTTGTTTTCATTGTTTGCCACCAAAAGAGTGGCAAAAATGCAAACAAAAACAAATGCATGTCTTATGACAACAACAACAAACTCAATGCAATTGTCAATCGATTGGGTGGTGGTGTGGTTAGCACTGGACTTACTGTCTTCGCCGTTGAGTGTCTCGCTGTCATCGATGGTGTGCCAGAGTTGGCCCACTTTGAGGACCGGACTTCTGTCCCCACGAGGACTATTGGTCGCCATTTTTTCCATTACCACTACTGAATGACCTTTTTATCACTCGTCCACAGCCACACCACTCACGAGCAGACAATGGCCGACAAGTTGGTGGCTATAATCATGGGTTACTTGAGGCGAGTCACTCACGAGTGAGCAAAGGGTCCACACATTAGTCTTTTGAAAGCAAAGTCGAGTCGAGTCTTAAGCAGTGAGTGTTTGCGGCCATAAGTCCAATGCAATCGCAATGATGTTTATTATGTCATGTGTTGTCTATTCATCAAAACATTCACAACACAGCCGTTCACTCGCACCTCAACACAGGCGACACCACTCACCACATGCTATACCACCGCTACCAGTGCTGCCATACCGGCCCTATCGACCGCACCACTGCAGTACAGTCACAGGCAAACTGAAGCTAACGACACGTTATGTCAAAATCATTGATACTTTTTTAATCACTATTGAGATCCAACTCTTGATTTGTTTGCCACGACTGACACATTGTATATGTTTTCCGCTTTATTCACACATATCTCACCACTAGTGATAACTTTGCACTCAATTTATGACTTACTGTACTATGAATTGAATGTTTTTTTGAAGGCTATTCACTCAATATCACAGGAATATCACAGAATTTCTCATAGGAATTGTATTTTTGCACTTCAACTAATTTGTAAACAAGCACTGTTTGAGAATGACCAGGCACAGTTCAGTACATTTTACCTAAATTCTCATATATTTCACATTTATTGCACTCAAAACTTAATAATTTGTATCAAATTCTTATCATCAGTTGTTTAATTAAGAAATTAAGAAATAATTGATGAGTTTATATACAGTAAAGTAAATTATATAATATAATCGTAAAACTATTGATAAGAATATGAATGGAAACATCAGTTTGCACTGGAATTATATTTTTATGCACTAATTATGAACTAATAGTTATTGCGAAATGGTTCTCAAATGTACTGGACCGATTAGTGAGCCTGGTCATACTCAATGAGTGTACAGTACTGTACTTAAAGTTCTTACCAGTAGTTATAGATATAATAAATGTAAAAATGTTATTCCTATAAGAACTCCGATAACACTGCGTGAATAGCCTTCAATCAGACCTTCAATGAATACTAAATCATAGATTGAGTCCAAATAAACTGTAACTCTTATCAAATAGCAGATTCTGTACAGAATATTCTTAGACTCGGTTTAAAGTTTAAACGAATATTTGTTAATAAAATCCATTTATTGAACGAAAGAAAATACGTTACAAAAGTAGCAATAGATAAACAAAAGTATAAAGAAATAGCATTTATTAACAAATGATATATGAATGCTTCACAAATGATTCAAATGTTTGCGGACACGAGAATGAGCGGCGAATCAACTTTCTTGATGTCGATCTTGAAGACGAGACAATTGAGGCCAATGTGTTGAGTGCAGTGGCAATGGATTTGATTCCAATGGAAATGTCCTAATTTGCCGAAACAGTGGTGACAATTGATTGCTCCGCTCTCCTGATGGCTTATGTGTTCCGTCATCCAAGTCAACGGTTCCACGTATAGCGAGTCGCACGACGATTGGCCACCAATTGATCCCTTAATCACATTAATCTCATTAAACAAATAAATTCTGCATTTTTTGCATTTATAGACGTCTTCGCGCCGCTGATGAGTGGACGGGTGTTTGTCAGACAATTGCCGCCATTTCCGGAAGTAATCGCTTAACGGCTCACAGATATTGCCGTTTGACTGGTCGCTGTCGAAGTCGCGAATCCACGGCCGAGTCCTCAGCATCTCATACATCAACTGCTCGACCAGTAGTTGTCTGAACTGAGCATTCAGTGGATCCACTCTTCGGTTCATTGCCTCGAAGAGTCTTAACTGTCGCC